CCAAGGGAGCAGACGTGTGACGAGGACGGAACCAAGACGAACACCTACTGGCAGCAGCTGCTGAAATTATGGAAGGAAATTTTCCCTGCCAGAGTTAGAGAGCCACGTTCTCGTGAGGAACTTTACCAGCCCAACTATAAAGGACAGGCAGGGTAAGCCCCTCACTCTCACACAAAAGGATACAAAATGGGGCGCGTGGGTAGAACACCGAGTCTGAAAGATCAAACATCTTTGGGCAAAGGATAGACAATAATAGAAGACGGTCAGGGAGCTCATAGCGAAATTGAAAGGATGCCACCGACTAACCGATAATCTCAACGACATCCTTATATCCATACCATAGGAATGGATAGCTATGTTGAAAAGGAATACACAAAGGGGAATAGGCGACTATGTGACATGGAAACAAGAAGGGGAATGTGACACACGTGCAAATGGCACGTGTGACGATGGTGAGAGAGAGAGAGAGAGAGAGAGAGAGAGAGAGGAGATGGACACACGAGAAGCAGCAGCTGAGTGAAGGTCCAGTCCGGCCAATGAATGAACGAACAACTGAATGAATGAACCTGCCRCCCTGGACCTAGGCCGAAGTGATATACCGGMCTGGGTCCAGTAGCGGAATAACCTGGTACCGGACCAGGGTCAGGCCGGCGGCCTGAGACTGGTCCGGCCTCACTGCCGGGCCGGAGGGATACCGCTCCACGATCCTCGGACTTGTGAATGGATCCAGAGATACATCAAAACACGCTATCCGCTGAAAGAGCAGGAACCCAAAAGGAACGGCCAAAGAAAAACAATCCTAAATGCGGAGCAAACTCCATGCAGGAAAAAGGGATGCAATGCAGACTAAGCCTCAAGCCTAATCTATAAACAATGTCTGGTCTGAGTCGACCCAAAAAGCAGGAAAATGTCTGACCTGTGTCGGCCAAGAAAGAGAAAAATGTCTGACCTGTGTCGGACAAGAAGGAGAAAAATGTCTGACCTGTGTCGGCCAAGAAAGAGAAAAAAAAAAAAAAAAAAAAAAAAAAAAAAAAAAAAAAAAAAAAAGTCTCATGAGCCAAGTAGGCTGAATATAATTCAACACCATGGCCCTAAAGGCCAAAAAATATCTAAGCCAATGTCTTACGTCGAAAAGAATGTGGCACAATCTCACGTACCCTGTACACAATGCACAATGCCTGAACAGAAGAGGAAGGAACTCAGTCGCATGGCAGAGGTAGGAATAGGTGGGGAGGCGGCGGGTACGACTCTTAGARTAAACTCCAARGGGGCACTCGCACAACCAGGTAAGGGKCATCAGGCTCAGGGGGGGGAGTAACAGCACGACACCGGGCTCAATGGAAACCATCAAACGGGCACCGCCAGCTGAAAGGGGAATGGCACTCACACAAGGGAGCACGCATAAGGTGAGCCTGGCCGGAGAGAGGGCTATGCCGGCATAGACATGTGGCCCAAGAGCCGCGAGCAAAGAAAACGTACACTCCAGAGGAGGGCGCGCAGCATAAGGTAAGGCAGAAGGGCG